TACTTTCCTCACTTCACTAGTGTGGAAACTGTGAGACAGTGACTGCTTTGACATTCCTGTCACATCAGAAGAACAGTGGACAAGGATGCTGGGTTTGTATAAATATTCAGCAGTTTCTTCACACTTTCTGGATGATTTCCTTGCACTTCTTTACAAAATAAATGTAAGCTACATACATGCTTTACTGGTTGTGTCCTACACCTTGCATTTTAATTCTGAAAAATGAAAGACCGCAAAGTGGCCACCAACACAGTAACAGACAACAGGGCATTGCTGTTGTCCTGAATTTCATACATGCAAACCATATTTATATTTGTATTATCATTTATTTGTTAACTAAGCATGTTATCTGTTGTTTCAAACTGGATTATAGTGAATTTTACACTTTGCTGTTAGCTGTAGTGAATGTGACAGTGTCCTAGGGAGCTAGCTAAGCTACCTGGTGCTGGATAGCATGCTAGCATTTTGTACACTGTTAGCATTCAAAGAACAGTTTGACACTGGGCATTAATTTCAGAATGAGGCCTTCTAAATGCAGTGGTCAATGGTTTCTACCCTGTTGTTTAATGCTAGCAGAAAGTCTTTGGTAAAGCTGTAGGTTGTGCTGTTTTATTTATCTTTCTAATGTTACAGAGAAATGCTGCTACAAGCTAGTTAGCTAATGACGCTTGGTGCCTCAGTTGCTAGCAGGATATTTAAGCTAAGGTAACGAAATGTACTTGTCAGGTATGAACTGATTCTATTGATGCTTTTGTGTCAGGACAAATTTTGCTGGTTAAAATTATTTTGACTACTATCCCAAAAATTTCTGCCTTTAGAAAAGGGAGACACATTTTTCTTGTGTTTCTCGGTCTTTGCGTGGGAAACAAGGTCACCATTGTGTGCATTTTTGATTTGCAGTATACACAATATGCAATTTAATTGTGTAATTGTTGTTCATCTCTCCCAATCTTTGCAATAATTTTCCCAGATTGCAATATTTTTCCCAGCTTTAGACAATGTAATCACTGCAATATGTGTATAGTTCCCACTACAATAGAAATGGTTCTGTACACTTTACCTTTGTTTACCTGTGCTTGCAGAGAATGGTTAGATTTAATTCAAATTATTTGACTTGCCTATTCTACCCGCAACCTTGCTCCAAAACTAGCCCAATTTGCCGCAAAAAAACATGACTCACGTAAACCTGGGAGGAGACGTTTGAAAGATGTCGTGTTTCATAACAAATGAGAATACTATCAGCAATATAATGTCTAATAAAATGGTTTTAAAAATCCTTAATGGTCCCACATGAGTTTAGTGGTTTGGAAAAGCTTTGCCTGATCAATTTAATCCATGGCTTTATGACCCAAAATGTGTCACTGATTATCATTTTGAATCCTCTTGTGCATTAAAGTGAACGTAATATTCATAATCATCTGATAGCATTTTAATTAGAGAGCATTCAAGCAGACCCACAAGATAATTAGCTATAAGGCTCCAGTCTTTAATGAGTAAAGAAATCAGGTTAAGCTCATTCATCACCAGCAATGAGTAATGCCAACTGATATTAAAAGCCTCCTAGGGATAACTGTCTTTAAACAAGGAATAGTTTCAGGCCTCAATTTGCATTGGCCTACAAAAGATATATAAATAGACCAAAGATTTGCACAGATTCTCTTATATCAACAATTTAATCAGGGGAAGTGGCCAGAAAGTGTATTTTACACATACCATGGAGGAAGGAACAAGAAGCAACACCTGCTGAGCACTGAAATTGCCTGAAGTCACGTTTATGGGCTGTGCTCAGATGAAAGGCAAGGGCATTAATGCAGCCTTTCATATCCATGTTAATATTCCTTGATGGCCTGACTGGGATTTGAACCCTGAGTCCAAAGTCATTGAGCTGCTTCAGCCCCAAATTTATAGTTTCGTTTGCTTAATCCATTCCAAAAAGTACCTGCTTTAAACTCACTACTTCCATTATATCATGAAGCATATAAACTAATTACTAACATGTTTTTTTAATCGGGTTTTTGACACAAAAATGACGCATGATGCATGAGCGTGGGTGTGAGATGTATTGATGAACCCAGTGACTCTTATGCAAAGCACTCTGCTTCACATAATAAATAACAGACTGTGATTAAAGTACAGATCGTGTCTGTTAATTAATTTTGCATCAAAACCTCAACTCAATGGTTGGTCAAATGCGTATAAATAAAAGAAGGAAATGTCAAGCACAACCTGCGGCAAATCCCTACACAGAGACAGAGAGAGAGAGAGAGAGAGAGAGAGAGAGAGAGAGAGAGAGAGAGATATGCAGCCACCACTGACTCCCTCCTCATGTCACCACAGTTAAGACATTATCAATCAGTTTGTCGCCTTAAGATAATGCTGTGGTAAGACAGCACCTGTTTAAGCTAAAATGAGGTACTGAAGTCAGTTAAACGAACTGCTGCATTTCACTGGTGTGCTTAAATCAAGTGCCAACAAACTCTACTGACCGACTGACTTTACACACAAGGGTTGTGGTCAGATGACAGCATGGACATTAAGACACAAGAGACTGCTTTACAGTGCTGTAAGATTTGAGGATTTCTGGAGAGTGCCACATAGCATTTTAGATGAGAGAAACATACTGGCTCTTAGTGTCCGGGTGGGTAAAGGATCCCACCTTATACCAACCTGATACTGACTTCGACACAGTAACTGACACAAGACTTTATTGCCAAATAACGCAAAGTGCCACTGCTGTGATGACAATGTTCATTGAAGCCCAGGCTGGCCATCACTATCATTCACTAAAAAGACAAAACAGATAATTTTTCAGATAATTTAATCTTTTTTTCTAAATATAAGGACTTTTGTCTGTGTCTATAAATAATCTGATACTGAGTATTCGATTAAAAACCAGGACAGATTTTGTATATTTTCCAATCCACTGACGTGCTTTCTAAGTGTGTGATGTTAACTGACATAACACAGATCTTTTCAGGAACACAGGATAATCATACCTGTTACATTTCACATAACTTTCACATAACAATCTTTTGGTTGAATGTCACTACTGGAACAGTATCAGATATCACTCTCTGAGTTATGACATGGGTATCATTTTGGGTATCATTTTGAAAATGGATTAGTGCATTTAGTGCATTAGTACTCAATCGACATAATAGTTTTGCTATAAGTATAATATTAAAATGGATTTGCACTTGCCTACCTGCCTCTAAACATTGTCTGATATTTATGTCATAATGGACGTGTGGGCAAGAAACAAATAATATTGACCGATAATATCACGTCATGGACGTCCCCTCCCCCACACTCAGCTATTTTCAAGCAAAAATGTAGAGCTTGTTTCTTCCAGCACATTTCGGAATTAAAATGCATTGTGATTTAAACATGTTGTCTTTAAGGAAGGTTTTATCCTGTGTTTATGTGCATGGTAAATATCACACGTGTTCATGACATAATATATGTTAGTAGATCAGATCAGGAAAAAATGTCAGATCCAGTATTGATCCACTGTATAGGCCTGTATACACACACACACACACACACACACACACATATATATATATATATATATATATATATATAGTACTGTGCAAAAGTCTTAGGCACATGCAAACAATGATGCTTTCAAAAATAATGAAATTAAATGTTTCCACATTTAAAAAATACTATAAAGAGCAGTAAACAGTAATAAATGAAACAAAGACAATATTTGGTGTGACGATCCTTTAAAAAAAATATAGTAGTCTCAGGTACAATTAGTGCAGGTTTATAAGGAAATGAGCTGTAAGTGTTACTGAGCATCTTGCAGAAGCAGCCACAGTTCTTCTGGAGACTTTGACTGTCACACTTGCTTCCTATTTTTGCAGCAAAACCCAGCAGCCTTCATTATGTTTTTTTGTCTGAAAAGTGGTCTCTTTTGCAATCTGCTGCTTTCTTTACTGACATACAACCATTTTTCTGTAACATCTAATTTTGTGGGGGAAAATTAATGTTTGGAAATCTAAAAAGTTTTTGTACTGAATCAATAATGTAGAAATGTAGAAGTCAAAAATAAAAAAAAAATCTATAACAAAGTTTGTACTAAAAAAAAATAGGGTGCCTAAGACTTTTGCACAGTACAGTATGTATATATATATATATATATATATATATATATATATATAGAGAGAGAGAGAGAGAGAGTGTGTCTGTATAAAAACTGGATAGACACTCTCTGTATAGACTGTCTGTACAGAGTCTCTGTGTAGACTCTCTGTAGAGAGTCTTTGTAAAAAACTGTATAGACTCTCAGTATAGTCTCTCTCTCTGAACTCTGTGTATAAACTCTCTGTATAGACACTGTATAGATCTGTCTTTATAGACTGTCTGTATAAGCACCGTCTATAGACACTAGACTCACTATAGAATCTGTATAGACTCTCTGTGTGGATTCATTCCATAGATTCTCTGTACAGACTCTCTTTGTAGATTCTTTGTAGACAGGCTAGCCAGCTAACTATGATAAGTGATGTATATTGTCCTCCTCAAACAGCGAACTGTACAGTCGATGATTTAGATTTAACAAGTGAAAATATCTGTATGTTGTTTGATTTAAAGCTAATACTTGTATACACAGTATAATTGATTTAAAGGTAAGAAGTTTTACTCTTTACTTTACTTTTTAGCTCTGATGCTGTGCGCAGGCATGTTGATGTGACGTCGCACTGTAAACGGGGATGGAACTTGCAGGTGAGAAGACTAAGTTGAGAGTTGTGGTGGCATTTCATGTCACATAAGGCATTTACTCTGTCAAGAAGAAGGGTTCACTAACTTTTGCAAAAAGAGTAATAGCACCAACAGCAAATAGTGCAAACAATATTTTTTTAATATAATATATTTAAATATCCCTTATTTAAAAGAACCATTGTTTGCACTATTTGCTATAGATGGTGCTGTTACTATTTTTGCACATCTACATTTTCCAAAGTCCACAAGAACATGCAAACTCCATGCACACAGGGCAGAGATGGGGTTTGAACCCCTAACTCTGGTGCGAGGGAACAGTACTAACCACTAAGCCACTGTGCCCCCAAATCGATAGACTCTCTATAAATAATCGCTGTATGGACTCTGTAGACTCTGTAGATAATCACTGTATGGACTCTCTGTATGGACTCTGTAGATAATCACTGTATGGACTCTCTGTATGGACTCTGTAGATAATCACTGTATGGACTCTCTGTATGGACTCTGTAGACTCTGTAGATAATCACTGTATGGACTCTGTAGACTCTGTAGATAATCACTGTATGGACTCTGTAGATAATCACTGTATGGATTCTGTAGACTCTGTAGATAATCACTGTATGGACTCTCTGTATGGACACTATAGACTCTCTGTAGATAATCACTGTATGGACTCTCTGTATGGACTCTGTAGATAATCACTGTATGGACTCTCTGTATGGACTCTGTAGATAATCACTGTATGGACTCTCTGTATGGACACTATGGACTCTCTGTAGATAATCACTGTATGGACTCTCTGTATGGACACTATGGACTCTCTGTATGGACACGATGGACTCTCTGTATGGACACTATAGACTCTCTGTAGATAATCACTGTATGGACTCTCTGTATGGACTCTGTAGATAATCACTGTATGGACTCTCTGTAGATAATCACTGTATGTACACTCTGTATGGACTCTCTGTATGGACACTATGGACTCTCTGTAGATAATCACTGTATGTACACTCTGTATGGACTCTCTGTATGGACACTATAGACTCTCTGTAGATAATCACTGTATGGACTCTCTGTATGGACACTATGGACTCTCTGTATGGACACTATAGACTCTCTGTAGATATGTAGATGTAGATTCTCTGTATGGAATCTATAGATTCTCTGTATAGACTTTCCGTAGGTAATCACTGTATGGACTCTCTGTATAGACTCTATAGACTCTGTAGATAATCACTGTACAGACACTTTGTATAGACTGCATAGATTCTCTGAATGGACTCTCTGTATAGACTATATAGGCTCTCTGTATAGACTAGACTCTCTGTACAGCCTCTCTGTATAGACTCTCTCTTTAGGCCTGTATTTCCACTAAGTCACAAACAGACTTTGATACTTGTAACAAACCCCATAAATGTGCTGAACTTTGAGACAACAGCAGTTAATTGTCAGGAAAACCTGGCTTGCTTTACTTTTCCCTAAAAAGGAGGACTTTCTGCAGGATTTAGCAGGATATATGCCGGTCTAATTAGATGCTGTCTTGAAGTCTCTGCCTGTCTGGATTTCACTCAGTTTTGTTTTCTAAAACTTTGTTTACTGTGGTAATTATACCAAGTACACAGTGCAAATCATTAACGAACCATATGTCCTATTTGCTCCAAATGCCTGACCTGTCCTCTGATTGCCTGGTCCTGCAATCCAACTTTTTTCATCATAATTATCAAGGGGACTCATTCACAATTACCTACAAAATGCTTTTTAATTGGCCATATGCTGCAGTGTCGCTCAGCTAAATCAGAGACAAGCCAGATTAGCCACTAATGAAGGCAGGTGATGGTGCATCACTACTGTGTGTGTGTCCATGAGCTACTGATACATCTAATGCCTCATTTAGAGAAACCTCAACCTGGGAAAACTAATAAATAGACAGGAACAAAAAAGGGGGACACAAATGAGGTACTGAAATATTAATATCATGGTCTGCTTATCTGTCCAAAAAAAGTAATTAAAGACATTTTCAGCATCTGCATCATCTTTGTCTGATTAGTGTGCTTTGTGTTCTCCTCAGTTTTTGAAATATACAAAATTTCCAGAATACCAAACAATGTAATCCCATATTTTAAAATACATGTTTTTAACTTCATTACTAGACTTATTCTGCATTAAAAAAAAAAAACTCTGACCACTCCAAAAGTTGTTGTTCTTTTATCACAGACATCCATGGCCTAGGGCAGGGCAAACTCCTAATGAAGATGTGCTGATTATTACAGTGTGCCCCCCAGTGGTCTGAACTGGCAGCACTTTCAAAACCATCAGCACCAATCATGGCTGTTTTGAGCTCAAGCTTTGCTTCTCCACATCACTGGTTCCCAATCCCAGCCCTGGAGACAACAAGCTCTGCACGTTTATGGATTTCCCTGGTTCACACACACCTGCCTCATTTGCTGAAAGGCTCGATAATTAGATCAGGGGTTGAATCAGATGTGGCTGTATAATTAAAATACAAAAGTAGGCAGAGAAATTGACCCAATTCTCTGCAAATGTGTGCACTTGCATGTCCATTGGTCTAACACACCTGCCTCAGTCATTAAAGCCTTGTTAATTAGATCACAGGCTGAATCAGATGTGTTGATGTAGTGGAAATACAAAAGCATATGAAGCATGGCGTTTCCAGTACTGGGATTTGGGAAAATGCTCTGCTCTGAATCATACGAGCTCAGGGACTGTGTTGCTAGTTTCCTGTCTAAAGTGGGATGTTTCCGAATTACACTTGGATTAAAAAGTGGACTTTGGTTAGTTGATCAACATGGATTTATGTGTGAAAATTTATTCAAACAGCTTTAAGATAGGATGTTAGGAACGTTAAGGTTAGGTTTAGGGTGGGGTTCCCAAGCTCCAACGCATTTACAGTACATGAAAAGACATTTTCCCCAGACTTGAATGGGACAAATAGAGTTTGAAACATTGAAAAGTAGTGTGATTGTATACAAAATGTCCAACTTAATATCAGCCAATCTAAGGACATCCAGGACTGAATTTAGCCTTTAGATTATTATTAAGGTTATTAATTTTAAAGCATATCACTCAGTAACTCCAGCAAACTAATAAGAAAGAAATGTGGTCATGAGAGTAAGGAGTGTGAGTCTGGACCCATTGATGGGTCCTGGGAGTTTAACCAATAACAACATGCTTTTTATGGGCCAGTTTGAATTACGGCTCAATAATGGATGTCTCTGGACACTTCTGGTCAGCCGGTGCTTACAGGTTAGTGGTCATGTCTCTTCTTATGACTTAAGACATATATAAAAAAAATTTTTAATTGATGTTGCTTGATTCTAACAACACTCTGTCACAGTTACGTTGAATAGCTTAATGATACCTATGGGAAATTGAACCCAGATTGAGATGGGCTATCATTTGGTAGATTTGTAGGTTTTAATTGGATTGGGAGCATGCAATCCAAATCTGCATCTGCAGCTCAGGCTGGATGATGATGATGATGATGATGATGATGATGATACTAAAGCTTAAAAAAAAGAAATGAAAAATCCCCCTGCACAGAGACTTACGGTAGAAGACGTACTCTGTGCACTTGCACCACTGCCTGTCGTCCGTGTGCGCTGCGTAAAGGGGAGAGGTGAGCGCCGAGCTGCACGCCACCAGCCGGAAGCCGCTCTCCGCAAGCAGGTCAAACGCCCTCTCCGCGTGGCCGAAAGTGAGGACGAACCGGGACGTGTAGCGCTCAGGAGGCCGCTCAGGATCCCTGCTTTCCCTTAAAGCCTCTCCGAAGACTTCTTTAGCCAATGCGACCCTTCCGCAGACGAAAAGTTTGGGCAGTCTGGTGCCTTTCACGTCTGAGACGCATGCGTCGCGCGCGGATGCGACCGTGATGAACCCGTAGCGCCTGTGGGATGACGGGTACGACCTCTGATCGCTGCCTTGAGATACATCATCTAAATCACTGTGAGGGTACTCATCATGGTTTGGTCGCTTAAAGTCATCAGGGGTGAGGATCTTGACCAGCTCGGGAAGCTGGAAGTACTCAGCCTCGCGCTTGAGCCGCCCTCTTTCCGGGAAGTGATCTGGAAGGACGACGTGCTTGTCTCGCAAGTAGTCCAGCACGTATCGAAACAAAAATCCATCCCTATCAATGAAGCATCTTCCTCTCGTGTCTCGGGCCATGTCCCCTGATGTCTCCTTTTTGGATGAAAACATTTTGGCCAGTAAAGAGTTGGGCATGCTGGTCAGGGTGGCGCGCCGGGTGTAGTACACCTGGCCACCCACATTCAGCTCTATGACATCGGAAGTTTGGGTCGAGCCACTGTCTTTGGGAGCCTGATAAATCCTACAGTTTTCAGTCAGTGCCATTTTGATGCGGTGTGACACGGATCACGAAGTCACAAAGTTTTGCTTAGTAGAGGTTTATGAAAGGCGACGCGCAAAGCGGCGCAGTGCGAACGACACATCACAGTAACGCCACGAGCCTGGAAACTATGAAATCCCTGCACACTCCAGGACACAATACGAAACACACACTCAGAGCAAGGTATTTACCTTTATCTCCTTCAGCTTTTCAAAAAGTGCTGCAAAGTCCTGCTGGAAATTATACCAGTCAGCCTCCAACTTATTCCCAAAACGCGCCTTTCAGTCTACAGATTTAGTAACATTTCATTTTAGAGCACATCTGCTCTAATGTGTGCTATCAGTTCCGTTATAAAAGAGCCTGTGTATGTGTGTGTGTGTGTGTGTGTGTTGCAGGGTGCAGTTAGAAGTTGAGCTCAGTCGACTGTGCACGATCAGTGCGCTCGCCCCGGGGACTGGATGGATGATGATGTTGCTACAGCAGTGCAGGGAGGGAGACCGTTCTCAGGGAGTGAAGCCTTACATCATCTTAAAGGAGAATGACAGCGCATGCGCACCCCATGAGCATTAATAGCTCATATGTAAATGCAGGTTGTGTAAGCAAATCAAAGAGCAAACCAATTCCAACGAATTTCATATTTTTTAAATAAATAAATAACAAAATTGTGCAGCAGGTAGTGTTGCCACCTCACAGCTCCAGGGTTCTATCCTGAGTTCGTGCGGGGTTTCACACGTTCTCCCCATGTCCGTGTGGATTTCCTCCATGTTCTCTGGTTTCTTCCACCTACCAAACACAGGATAGTAGGTGGAAATTAGTAAGGCTATATTGCCCCTAGGTGTGAATGAGTGTAGGAATGTGTGCGTGCAGGCTGTCCTGCGATGGATGGGCATCCCATCCAGGGTGGATTCCTCATGGAATAGGATTTGGATCCACCGTGACTGAAGATAAATGAATGAATGAATGTAATTAAAACCCT